AATTCAAACAGACAAGCACCTGCCACATAGCACCCCAGACTTAACAACTGTTGATAAGAAGACAAAAAATCTGGATAGTGGACATTGGAAGACCTGGAGACAGCAGAAGAGAAGAGAAAGAACTGGAGAAAATCACAAGACATGCAAATAAAAGTAGAACGACTATTTGAACAGCTTCCATCCTGCGACGATACCTTTAACACCATCAAACAACATCTGCCTATCCCAGATCCTTGGGAAGGACTTGACAGGAGGATACAAATTCCAAATCCAGTTTAAACATCTGGCTGTGAGACCATCAATAATAAGTCCTTGCAGTTTTCTTGGCAAGATTTTGGAAGTGGTTTGCCCTTCTTCTTCCCAGGGCTAAGAGAGAAGGACTGGCCCAAGGTCAGCCATCTGGCTTTGTGTCTAAAGCAAGACTAGAATTCACGGTCTCCCAGTTCCTAGCCTGGTGCCTTAACCACTACACCAAACTGGCTCTCCAAATAAATGTATGGTTCTATTATTAAAACTCCTTGTCATTTCCAGGCAAAAAACTGGGAAAATTATCATGGGGGGAAGGGGGAGAAGGCTTTCATAATTTATGTGTTAAGAAACTGTGCTTAGAGTATCAATAATCTAGTTCTGTAACTACTTCTTTTCCAGTGTTAATTTAAATATAGCTATCCCCATATAATTATGCGGAGCTCCATGGTCTTATCTACTTCACCAGTTGTAAGAAAGACTGCAGTCAACATTATTACTTCTGTCCAAACAGAATGATCTTGGAGAGCTCACTGTACAGACATGAGTTAATTACAAATTCAGACATGGAGGCATTCACCTCTGATTTACATTAGCAAAGAGGCTAAAAATAAGTCCCAGTTGCACTGCATGGAAGTGGGAAAGGAAGAGGACTATTAATTACTCCCTGATGTTTTCTCAGAAGGAAAAAACATCTTAGTGGTACCTTCTAAGAATTGTTTTCAAAATAAAAAACGGAAACAGGAATCCCTAGAAAGCCATTACTTTAGAGACAGAAAGCATACTACAAATTGCATCCTTAAAAATAGAGTCAGAAACAGACTAAGAGATTATGCAGTTTGAATGGTTTTGGTTTAGCATGTTATGCAACCCCAGCCAACAGATTTAAGCAAACCATAGCTTGGTGCAAACATTGTCATTGCACCAAAAGCAACATGGTTAACACCAATTTAGCATTTTGCATCCACTCCCCATGTGTCTGTTTGACAGATCTTTGCATGCTGATTTCTAAAGGCTGTAGAGAGCTTATACGATCATTTGGCTGACTTCATTCACAATCCTCTACCTTCTAATCCCAATTGTGTTGTGCTGAAGCATTTATTCTGCTTTTTTTTTTTCACTTACTCTCTTCAGCGTGATGGGAGCAGAATATTTCTTGGGGAGGAGAAGAACATTTTGGCAAAATGTTTCAGGCTAGGATGCAAACTTTTGACTCTTACCTTGGTTACAAAATGGCTGGCTGGTGTGTGTGAATTTCCAGTCTTTCATTATATAATAGTCTTTGCAGGCGGGGGCATTCACAGGGAGAATAAAAAAGTCAAGATTTTGGTCTCAAGTGTACATTTAAAGCCCTGACCTTTTCTTTTTAATGTGTGTTGCCTGTGGATGTCCCTGCCTGCAGGATCCCTGGTTTCATCAAAAACCCATTAAATCCCAACGGAAGATGCCAGGAAGAAACTCCTACCACCTGTTTTCCCCCTGGACTGGCAAGCATACGTAGTCAGTAAAGCTGCAGAGCAACAGGAAGATGCATAACAGAGAACAACACAAGAATCAGTTATACACCTTCCTCCACTTAAAAACACTGGAGATGTAAAAAAAAAAATAAAAAAAATCATTGTTTCATATTTCTTCTGGGACATCATGATCTGATTTACCTGGGGTGGTTTGACAGTTTTTTCAGAAGTAAATCTTCCACCAGAATGCACTAATTGGACCGTCTTAGGACTGGATTATGGCTAGAACACCATGAACCTCTTCCAGTTCTAGATTTACTTCTTGAAAATACCAGACAACCCCATAACACTGAGACTTTCTGGAAGGAAAATAGAATACTCTGGTGTTTTCCAGAATGCTTCGTCTCCAGGATGGTGAGTTTTGCATGCAATTAAATAAACACCACCAAAAGGAATTCTAAAGCAACAAAAGAATGGGATGGAGAAAAAACAGCAGACTCTTTCTAATGGGATTGTATGATCTTGAGTTATCTAATCGGGTTATCCTCCTAATATAAATGAGGGAACTTTTCTCATGGACAAAATTATTTATTGCTTTTTTACAGTTTTTATATACTATCCCAAACACTAGGACTGGGTGGTGCACAATACAGCAAAAACACAGATGATAAAGTAATATGACATAACCAATGGTCACCCAACAGCTACCTTATGGGCCAAAAGTCTGCTGAAATGAAACCATCTTTAGGATCTTTCTGAAGTGGCTATACACGCGCGTGCGCGCGCACACACACAAGGAAATTGAAGTCATTGCAACAATGTTAGCTCTATGACTTCTTCCAGATGTCTAAGCTAGGATAATGAAAGTCCTCCAATATGCCCCCACTGAACAGAATGCTTACTTGATAAACATGAAATGCATTCGCTGCTTTTCCACGGAGAAAGACTGAAGGAATCCAGACATTTATAAGTGCTCGGTTTGATCTGGGTGAAAAAAAACAAAACAGTATATATAATCCTGCAGTACAAATAGGCCATAAAACAGACTCCACTGATAGATGTTACCAATAATCAAAGCACTTGGAATAATGGGCCAAATGAAGAATCTGACAGTTATGTTACAAGAAAGGGAATACATTCCCAAATCAGAAAGAACCCTGAATTATGATTCACTTATGTCATTCTTTTGAAGTCACTGCAGGAATGAAATAAACACATCAAATTTTCGAACAACTCACATTTCAAAATCTGACAAGCTTTGATCTTCAGAGGTTTGACTGAGATCTCCAGGAACCTAGGCAATAAAAGAAGGAAAGAAGAATATAATTAAGCATTGGGTCTGCCTCATCTCTTGTCTTAAAAAGCAGGGACGTACAGCCTGACCCACTAGCAAATCTCCCAAAATTAATTCCTAAACCCAACAACTTCTTTCCTTTCACTCCCAGGGGCTGATATTTGAATAGAAGTCTCAGCAGGGCTCGTGCAATATTGCATTTCTATTGATATATTTACTCCTACCTTCTGGCCAACACTTTCTTTAAAAAATAGAATCCTCAAGACTTTCAAAAGCATTCTAGCTGACCATCTAACTGCAAACAGCACAAACACCGCAGTAAGATTCAAAACATGTTAGTCTTAAAGGGATGGAGTTTAAATTTAGGACAGTCAATGAAAGAGATTGTGGACTGGATCCTAAATTCAGTGTTTCTTCCACTCTCCAACATTTCTAGTCTCTTCATAATAACAAAAGTAAGCTCATCATCTTGAGAACTTTGTTCCTTTTCATGTAGGGTCTTTCACTATTGCATCTTCAACCTTGATTTCTTTCATATGAGTGGCTTCACAAAATTCTGACCAGCAAAACATGAGCGCATTTGTGGAATCAGAGATTTATGTCAGTTTTATTTGGCTATTCTTTACATCCTGAAAGAATGGCATTTATTTTGGACCTAATGAGAGCTATTGTCCAATGCTGATAATCAAGAGAAAATTGTATCCTTATTGTCTAATCAAGATATGTTCTTATAAAGATACAGTGGCTGGATTTGTGGAGACTGCTCACAAAGAAAAGGAAGATCTTGAAAAGATTAACCAGGTGAATTGTGGAGAGGATCTATTATTTGTTCTTAGAAATCTAAAGAAAAAGGATATTAATTTACTGAGTTTATGCTGGCTGGGGAATGCTGGGAGTTGAAATCCACACATCTTAAAGTTGCCAAGTTTAAGAAACACTGGTTTAGAGGGTCCTAAACATTAAGCACTCCATATCACGTTCTTTTGGAAACTAGGGATGATATTAAAAAGCTTCTCCAAACCTGTACGTTGAACCACAACCAGGAGCCCCAAGTCCACAGTCCACATTACACCCATCAACATCTCCCTTAGCAAAAGGTTCCATCTGATGCACTTGATTTAGTATTCTTTTAACTTAAAAAAAAAATTGGGAAGAGAGCATACTCCAAAGCAAAGGAACAGTCTCAGGCACCATCTTTAATTCCAAGAATGGGTTTGGGCCAAACTATGCCTTAAAGTAATCCTTACAGAATAAAAAAGAGAGGACCTATCCTCCAAACATGAAGTAAAAGTGCTCCTTCCTCCAAAAAAATTAGCTGAAGGGGATAGCATTGTTGCAATCTGTGAATTTCTCTCACCCTCTTTTTAGAGTTAATGGTGGCTTCAAGTGATTAAAACAGTGACCTAGGCATATAGTACATTTGTGGCTAGAGCTACATTTCCCATCCTGCTATTCTCTTCATGTGTTCGATTTCTCTAATCCAGTGTTTCTCTAACTTGGCAACTTGAAGATGGGTGGACTTCAACTCCCAGAATTCCCCAGCTAGCATGAAGTCTGCACATCTTAAAGCTTGCTCACTGGGGGATTCTGGGAGATGAAGTCCACCCATCTTCAAGCTGCCAAGGTTGAGAAACACTGCTGCAATCTAAATGTTCTCTGGACATTGTTAGCCATTACAAAATTATGCATTCTTCCGAGCAAGCATAGCACTTTTTAAAAAAATTGTAGTTATTCCTGTTGATCCTGTCATTATTATTTTACACTCTCATTTCAGGATTTTAGCTTTTGTTGACAGTCCCCTTAAAAGGTTTCACCCTGAGCATGGAAATTATAAAACAAAACATTTTATTCAATCATTCCACTAGGATCAAAGTTCTAATTAGATCCTTCAACAAGTTCTAATATGACAACATTAGAAATAAGACCTGCCCCCATCTGTTTAATGGCAACTATAATTAAGCTTAATAATTTGTCCCTATTTCTTAAAAGAAATGCATGTATGCATTTAATTGATGTGCCACTGAAGCTGACAAGCTCAAGATGGCTTACAATTGAACAAAACCCCCAAAATCTTCCCAAAACAAGCCCAAACAACAATTAATATTAAATAGTAACTATTATAATTCCAACAGTAAATATTAGGAACATCCACCCCCCAAAAACCATTCATAGTCACTCAGAACGAAAATGAAACCATAAATAAAAACCTCTGTCACAGAGTTCAAGCCACAACCTCCATCCAGATGAGGACGACGACATATACAGTAACAAAACAAATCAAATCAAATATTAGTTTACCATACCTAACCCATTTCAGAGTTTTGGACATCAGGAACCCAACTATTAAATGACCTCTCATGCCATGTCCTTTCAAATGTAGCATCTTCTGTCATTATGCACTGATTATCTCCAAAGTTAACCTTGCTGATTATTTTACTAGAGGAGTTTCAGGTTAGACAGCTGAAGGAATTATTCATGAAGGATTTAACCTTTGCAGGGGACATTTAGATATTCATGATTGGTGGTTATACAGGCCAAAGGACTTTGTCTTCCTTCCTGACATTGGCCAATGCAGGGATAGGCAGAAGCAGAGGTTAGAACCCCCTGACAAATCCCTGGTGACTTGCAGTCGATTCGCAATGTTTTTTTGACTCCCAAACGTGCTCGGACAGTAGTACTATCAAAGCAACTTTAAAAAGAAGCAACTTAAGTTAGACATCTGCAGTGGGAGCGTGAGCTCAGAGGTAAGCAGGAATGGACTTCTGTTGACGTGTTGTAAGGTATCTTTATTGCCCAACATCACCCAGAGAGCAATGGATAGAAAAAACAAACAAACAAATCAAATCCACGTAAAACCTTCAACCCTTTGGCTGAAAGAACTGGGAATTCAGTTCCTTTCTGGCCTGGGGGTGGGGGGAGTAACAAGCAGGAAAGAATCCTTTCCTTTAATTTACGAATCAGCAGCCTGCAGCCCTCTAGGAGTTGTTGGACTGTGATTCAGTTCTTGCACCAACTTCTGACAAGACGCACGGTGCCAATTCCAACTTTAATTTGAGATGTGTCCGCTTTGCACCTGGGTCTGCTAGTAATCACAAAGTAGGTCCATTAAGCCTCAAATCTCATCATCATCACCTTGTCTAATATTTTTCCTTCCCTAGCCTAAACCTGCCTGCCTGCAAATTTCTGGGTGTAATGGAAGGAAGAAGGGCACATGGCTGGGGCATGTGGAATTTTATGTATTTCATTCTCCTCCCTTTTCATTATGCACGTACACACACACACACACACAGTCAGATGGATTGCTGACAGTACATATAATTTCAACACTTAGCAGAACAAATTGCGCACAGAAAGGCTATTTTGAAAGCTTCTTTTCTGTTTCAGTTTAGCTTGATTTTTAAGAACTTTAAAAAAAAAAAAAAACCTTGACTGCTCTTACTAAACAGATTGGCTTTTGAGCCAGTAAGAGATAAATAAGCTGGCTCTTTAAATGTCAATAAAAACAACAGGCCACTTTCCAGACTGAAAAGAGGTGACCTCTCTTCTCCAACTGTCAGCAAAACAGAGCCCTCCAGAATTTCAGATAAAAAACAACAGCGGTTTCTGATGCATTACCAGCGTGCTTACCCCCATTGCTGTGCTTTTCTGTTGTGAAACAAAAATGTTAAGAGGAAGTGTGTGCGGTTGCGCGCGCGCACATCTTTTAATCTTAGGGCAATCTGAAGAGCTCCTATGCACAGCAACCAGCCATTACGCACCTTCATCAAGCTTTCTAAAGGATGGGCCAAATCATCTCCTAAGAAAGAGACAAGCACGTCTGCCAAATGAATAAAGGCAAACTTCCCTTCAAATTGGCTCCCCTCTTGCCTTCTTCTAGGAGACTTAAAAAAAAACTTGGTCTAATCTACAGCCCTCCAATTTTTTGCAAATCTCCCATCCAAGCACTACCCAGCTCTGACCTACTTAGCTTTTGTAAATCAGCCTCGGGGCTTCCCCTAACTTAGCTTTCCAGTGAATATTACACACACAGACATATACGCTTGATGGAATGCCTAACAGACCCTGGCAAATGGAGAAAAGAGCAGGACAGTTACACTTCAGTATCCATAATTCCCTGCCCAGATTCTCATCCATTGGTTCTAGCCCCATTTCCCTTTAGAGCAGCTTCCCTGTATGCTGCAAGTAGCCCTCCTCTCCCGCTTTTCTCTGGCTAAAGGTGCGCAGGTCTTCCAATCATTCCTCGCAAGAATTGGTTTCTAGCCCTTCTTGTATCCTCTGCAATGGTTGACCCTTTGGGAGCTTTGTCTCTTTGGCCCACGTCCTTTTAACAGGGGTACCCATAATTGGACACCATACTCCAGTTGTTTGCTAAGAGAGACTCCGTGGCATGGTTCTCCTGGTGTTTCTAGACACAAGTCATTTCTGGACCGAAGACTTTACGGAGACAATTGTTTAACCCCTTGCCAATTGTTTATGAGCTGACCTGTTTGCCTGGATGTGCTCATGGCTGAGAATCTGATCATCATGATTTACTAACTCCAACCAACCTGTGTGTTCCATGACAGCTAGCAAAGGAGTGCACACCTCTAATCAATAATTGAGTTGATCATCAGCATTCTTTTCAATGCAGAAACGTTGATCTTCATGCTTGTTGCCTTCTTTCCATTGTTGCCCATTTTAATGCCAAGCCAGATGTTCCCCTCTTGGAACCTCACCCAAGTCTCTTAAGTTTAAGACCCCTGGTTGGGAAGGCTGTTCCAGAAAGTCTACAGCTTGTCATGAAACCAGCAAAAAGTCCTAAGGAATCCAGAAAGAACATGGAGACTCTCCAATTTTACTCCCCAACTATAAAAGCTGGACTCCTGAAATGTGATGATTCAGATACTACGAAACACTGCTTGGCAAGTGGCTCACAAAGAAATACACTCTGTCCTCACTTTTAAATACATGCTATATTTGCATCTGCTGAAATATAACGTTCCAATTTGTGTACAGCGCTAAGCCATGATTGTTTTTAACCACTGTTGAGCAAAGCACAGTCACCAGATTCACATATAATGCCAAGCCATATGTAAAAGAAACCTCAAAGCTCTTAATAGCTTAGAATTATATATGAACCAAATTAATATTTTTGTGAAATCTTTCACATCAGCATTACAGAGCTGTAACTCAAAGCAAATACTAATCTCAAAGCCTTTTTCCCTTTTACAATTCATTAAAAAAACTAATTGACATAAAAAAGGTTAACACAATGATTCAGGAAGGGGAAACACTACTAAAGTATATCATTTGAGAAATATTTTTATAAGTACTTTCTTCCCCCTTACGCAATATCTCCAAAGAGATCTGCTCTCTCCAATCTCTCAAACTGTTACACATTCAGCAAGAGGAAATATTTTCAGTCTTTATGCTGCACCAGCCTGAAAGCCTAGAAAGATTTTCAAAATCTGTTTTGCTGTGTGGCATATTTAAAGTGGCAGAGGGAGTGGAGCCCCATCCAACATTTCCCAATTCCCCTTCCTGCTTTGAATATTTTAAAGACGTTATACTGATAAACAGTATAGTGCTTATTATTCAGCGTCTCTCCAAAGCTGGATGTTCTTTTCTTTTCAAATATATTTGAAGTTGAGTGTACTTGATGAGCAGAAGGAACAAAAACATTGAGTGCATTCTTTCAGCTGGAGGTCTGGGAATTTTATCATGAGAGATTTTAAAGGACACGTCTGCAGCTGAAAAAGGGGCAGGGAGGGATCAGAACCTATCCTACAAATGGGGACAGAGAAGATACTTGAGCAATACTGCCCTAGAGGTATTTGTTTTTCCCATTTATCCAGCCTTTCCTCTGGAAGTTTGTAGTTGCAGCCCTTGGTTGAGGGTCTCTGCCCTCATCATACATGCACGACAACATTCATGGAGGTTGTTGGGTTTAAAAAATGTGACTCATCCACCTTAACCTCTGCACCACATTGAAATTTGGGACTGTTCCTTAGGACCATCCTTATAAGTGGGACCTAGGAAGAGGTAGCTAGGAAAGTGAATGTAATCAGCTGGATATTTTAATATCAATCAGAATCTAAAGAACTATTTCAGCCCCAACTCCCAAAGCCATGTTGCATAGTGGTTTAGTCACTAAGGAAAGGTGGGATAATGGACTAGGAAGATGCAGGTTTAACTCTCTAATCAGATATACAAATTCACTGGGTGACATGAAAATAAACTGGAGATGGACAAATTTTCTGGGAGGAAAGATGGGCCACATATGTAATGAATATTTCTTAATGATTATTTTCCTTTGGAAAAAAGACCCCCAATTGCTTTCAGATGTCTACTCCATTTCCAGATTTATCATTAGGGTTAAGGAAAAAAAAAATAAGGAATGGATTACTGTCATTCCTGAGATCTTCTATTTTTTTTCCTCTTATTTTCTCATTCACCTCCCTCCCTATTTTTTCCAAAACAGGGTTTTCCTTCTCTACACATAGAAGGATATATTCTGTAGGATAAATGGGAAATTAGCAAAATCAGTCCATGTTCAAAACCAGTTCTGTTTTTTAAGTATCAAAAATAGCTCTTCCTACCCAGTATCACTAGGGGTTGGGGATGATGGAAGTTGTAGCCCAGCACATCTGGGGAGGGCTAGGTTGGGAAACACAAGTAAGGACAATTCCAGATGTCTTCTCCTGCTCCCTTGTTCTCTAAAACCTTGAAAGGTTCCAATTCCATTTATTGTCCTTCCATTCAAATATTTCTAAAGGAAACATTTGGAAGGAAATTTCCATCCTGAAACACCAGCTAGAAAATAAGGTTTTTCACAATGCACGGTGGCCCTGCACGTCTTAAAGATCATAAGAACAATTCCTAATCTGAATGATCAGGAGGAATCTGGTAGCCTCTTTTCCAACTAACAAGTTGTATTAAAAGGCCAAAGCTTTCATAAGCTGCATCTCCGTTCATCAGATACATCCAGTGGCTAGACCGCTGTAAGATATAAACCGGGATGAAGTGGAGGGGGGAAGGAAGGGGAAGACCAGCTGGTTATGCAGATGCAGGTTACATGTGAGAAAAGTATCTTATCAATTAACAACTGAAACGTGTTCAAACTTCATTGTGTCTGTTGAGATTGCTTGAAACCTTTTGATGTATATGAGTTCAGCAATTTCTTACTCACTGGCGCTGTTAAGTCAAGGCCCTCTATGCATCCAATAGCACAGTTAACAAAATACAATGCATTAGTCAGAAAAGGTGCAACCAGACTCCTCCTGATCTTTTGCTATCATAGACCAACATGGTTCTCCTCCTACAATGCCTAACCTGCAAATGGTGGAAGCTGGGAAGTTTGGGCAAGTAGTAACCAAGCAACCTAGATGGTAAACAGACATAACTCCTCTAATTTATTGCCATCACATGATTTGGATTTTCCCATGAAAGCCGTGTCTCCCACTAACCTGGAATAAAGGAAATGTTCCATCAAGGCAAACGGAAACTCAGAGAATCCAATGTCCTGCCCCTCAAGTCTTGCACTCAATTAAATAGAGAGCTATTCAGTTTGCAAATCCTAATGTGTACTGTAGCATTATGTTTATCTCACCCTTAAGATTTTATTCTGAAATTTATAGCTCGTAGGGCCTCAATTAAGCTCTTGTCCACACCAATGTATTGGCAAGGCACATAATAAAAAAATCCACCACCTAATTATTTTATATTGCACCATTATTGCGAAGGACACAGTCCCCTTGTGTCTCATAATAATCCTACAATTACTTCGTTTCCAGAAAACTATTTTGCTTCTTCAGAACATCCAGGCTCAACATACAAGCTCACCACACAGTCAAAAGTCTAGAAATCTGCTTGGAGTCAAGAGACTGGAAGACTTCTCATACAATAGGGACATCCTTCCCTTCCATACTGGTTAATTATTTATAATTGTTACATCCTGTAATTAGATCAGAATGGTTTAATTCACAACCTGTTCTGAGCCACCATTTTATTCTTTGCTATATACAGGGATGAAATTAACATTTCATAAGAACAAATGGAGTATGCTTAGCTACAAGACTGAGAGAGGCTATACTACCTAACATGATCTCATGCAAAGAAGCTTGTTCCATAACATCCTAGAATGCAAGACAGAGAATAATGAACTTAATCTGCAGAAGGGCAGTTCTCACAAAAATCTTCATAACGGAAAAGCAGCTCAAAGAAGAACCAGTTATTGAAAAAGGTGGCAAGCCCCCCTCCCCAGCTTTGCTGGATGTGTTCGAGCAGACAGAGGGACAATTCATCTGGCAGGGATGCTTCAAGTTGGCTTTCTGCACTGAACGGGAAGCTGAACTCCGTAGCCCTAATGACCTCTTCTGACTATTAAGATCTGATGAACTACTTGCCCATTTACCTTGCGTTGGGCTTCCAGGGCAAAGGATAGAAACTAAAATATTTGCAAAGTTTCTTTTCTCCTCTCCAGTGTGAAAAACTACTCATTTGCATATGGCAATGATGATGGTGATGGTGTTTATTTAGAAAAATCTTACCGGTCCTCTCAGATCAATGAGTTCTTGTCTCATCTGAGTCACAAGAGCTTCTTTAGCCATCAAGGCACGATGCAGCCTTTCATTGAATTCAATCAGTTCCCCATGCATTTCTGCCACCTGAAAAACACACACAGACAACCAACAGACTAAGCTATGGTGAATGAGTGTTCAGACATCCAAGATACAAATCAATAAAGAAATAGCCTCTATTTCTACATAAGCACCAAAGAAAACAACATAAATAGATGGTCAATGCTACTGCAAAACATGTGAACAGGTACACTTCCACAATATGTGGAATTGTCTTCTGTGCCAGTGGTTGGGATCCAAAAAGGGGAACCCAAGAGTTTATCAAGTGTTTAGATATCCCGGCATTATTTTAATGTTACTCTTTAATATTATTTTTATACTTAATCTTATATGCATAGTACCCTAATATGATTGTGTCTTACAGTAAGCTATATGCAAAGATTACGTGCTTATATATGCAAGCCCATTGCTCCCCGCTTCATATGAGAAAGCTAATTAAAGCATGAAGCTAGATGTACCTAATCTGCAATTGTGGTTAACTGCCCCCAAACAAACTAGAATCATAAGCCAGCTTTAACCCAGAATTTGGAAGCAACTGATCCAAAAAAGCTTTCTGGTTACTTATGCAACTGAGAATATGAACTTCTTGAGTGTACCATGTTTTTAAAAGCCAAGATTCATGGCTTATTATGCTGAGTAAAGACAGCCATGAGATTTCTTCATTTCCAAGAAATCTCCAAATATTGTTTGGTACTTACCTCATGCTTTTCTACTTAATTGCATTAAAGGGGATTCAATTCATAACCTCCTTTGATATAATTAAAAACATCCTACTTAATTACTCTAAACTAGATTGACTGAATAAGATCAAACATAATACGTCTTCTGTGCTAATAACAAAAAACAATCTGTATTCATATGCCACTTGAACAGCATCCCCAGGAAGATGTTGCCATTTTGAACCAATTCATATAGTTAAACAAAGAATTCAATCAAATTACAATTTTAAGTAGAAGCATTAATATTATTAATGATGGATCGTATCCCCAGTCACAATGAATGCCAGCTTTTATGGGGACTTCATAATTCAAACATAGAGATTTATAACATATCCCCAGCTGAAAAATTTACATTTTCATGTATGTGGTATTTTCTTTAATGAGGATTTTAATGCATTTTTAAACCTCAGAATTCAGTTTTAATTTTTTATAGCATACAGAGAACTTCCATGCCTTACCTTAATATTTTTATTGTTTGTATGTGACTTGGGAGCTTTGCAAGCCTGTCTTAACCTATATGGAGTACACTAGGCTGGGATATATGGACTTTCAGATACATTGAACAGCAATCCCAATCAGTATGCCCAAGGGTGATGGAGGGCCACATGCTGGAAAAATGGCAGTTACTGTCCCATATCTCAAGGATGTCAATCCACCTATCCATCAGGCACAAGTCCTACATACTCATGTTCTAGTTGCATCTTTCCCAGTTATAAGGTTCATTTTAGCCCCAGCCAAATGTTTTGCTGAGTGAAGAAAGGGAGCAACAGTGTCTTCCAATATTTCTAATAGCTGGTGCCATGCAATCAATCAGACTGTTGAACGAGGACTAGGGTCCCAATCCCTGAAAAAGTGTGATCTCACTGGATAACCTTAGATCAAATCTTATTACCAAAAGAGCGCCTTCCATCCATGTCTTCTGCTTGACATTCTCAAGAGCGGAGCAGATGGAAGCATCAAGGAAGAGAACTCACAAGAACAATGCTGTGGAAGAATGCGCACCTTGCAGACAGAATCTACTAAAGGTCCTGAGCATTGGCAGTATAGAAAGACATTACTGAACTAAATTAATGAAAGATTTGATATAGTGTTAACCAGTTCACACATTCTGAAATACCCCACCTCCTTGAAGAGTTTTTTTTTCTAACTCTGCATTCACCTGAACAGGCTGGTAAGTCTGCAAGTTGCAGTTCTACCATACCTGGAAGGGTCTGCTTTTATTCCAAACGCACATTTCCTGTCACAGCTCTCTCACCAGACCATGCAACCAATAATCTTTGACTGACATTCTACCCCCTTCCAAACACTAGAAATGTTCCCATGGGTGTCTATGACTTTACTGTCCCCTGTTGTTTTTGTTTTGGCTTTCAAGAAAAATACCAGACTTCAGAATACAGTGAGACTCACTCTTTTTAAATAACAACCACAACAATAATGTAAACACCTTTATTTCTTCTCTGTTTATCTTTGTTTTTTTTTTTTTTTGCATTCTGGTAGGGAGAGAAAATATTTTGATGACCATAGTTGCACTTCTGGAATTTTCAACTCAACCTGTCACATTGTTCAACAGAACCAAAACAACGAGGAATGGTTTCATGACTTTTGAGAAGTTACAGGTGGTTATGGAATAAAGAGGACAAGGAAGGGAGAGGGAGCAAATATTTTCACCCAGAAAGATGGGATAAACTCTTCTGCATGAGTTTCTCAGAAATTGTTTCAAGTTAAAGCAACCCACATCCAAAGAATCCATGTCTCTGAAGGAAATGTGAACTTCATGTTCAAAGTATACGTACCCAATCACTCTTGGTATAAATTATGTGCCAGCCATATTCTTCAGTCTAATATATTGAAATTATATTATATTTTCTTTCACCCCAAGTACTTAAGACCCTCTTTTAATTGCAGAGGCGGGCAATCTGCAGTTTCTGCAAAGCCCCTGGAAATTATACTGTCAAAACCGAAAGACCAGCCTGCCAAATCACAGAGATGCAACTTCCTGTTGGTTTTTCAAAAGAAAGCAAAACCACTTTATAATCCATTAGACTGGATTGACAACCCTTTAAAGAGTCTTTTTAACCCAGCTTCTTCGCCCCCATCACCCCACCCAAAACCATAATAATAATGTTTTTAAATTCTTGGGCTGCTGACTCATCACATGGTTTTAATGCAAAACCTTCTAAAAATCCTAAAAAGGGGGTTAAATAAAAAAGAGGGAAAATTACTTCCAATGTTAACTCTTCTAAAACTAACTATGAATCTCAAACTGATGTGAAATGAAATGAAATATAACCAGCTGAAGGGGGGGGGGAAGAGATGTAAGACTGATATTCTATTACTTCTGGAAGACCAAGAACATCCTAATGATTGCATGGTGGTGACACATCGCATAATAACTAGCATAATAACGTCATGCAGAGTCACGGCAAAGATCTTTCAAAAGGTCAGGTTCATCATGTGCATAATAGCAGGTGACACATAAAGTATAAATCAACTAGAGAAGGAGACTTGCCAGAAGGAAAAGTAGCAAAATCTGGAATACAAGTTTGGCATCTGAATTTTGGAGGCCATATGCAAATCATAAATATTTATATCAGTTTGTTGGGATTTTTTTTCTTTAATTCCCCATAAGAAAAAAAATCACAAGAAGTGCAGAAGAATTGACCTGACATATTGTACAGTTTAATTTACCTGATTTTATCTGCCAGAGATCAACATTGCTCACAAGCAGCCAAAAGAAAATTGACCAATTCTGGTTAAAATTTCCTTGCTTTATAATCATCCAAAATTTCCTGCGGGCACCTTTCCTTATACCCAACCATCAATACCCTTTCCCACATTCTTTCAATATCTAATTTCCTCCCTGCCACGGTATTTTTTTTTTAAAAAAAGAATGCACGTAATAGCTAATCTAATTAAGATTCTTCTTGTAAAAAAGCAGACAGATAATCTGAATTACATTGTAATTAAAAGTGCTAAGATTTATTATTAAAGTTATTCACTCAGTCAAAAAAAAAAAAGAACAATAGTTCATTTTGTTTGCCGTGTTATTCTGAAATACTTGAATCAATTGAGGAAACTACGAGGTGCAAAGAGACAAAGAGCAAAAGCTGGTTTGCTTCAGTAAAACAGTGGGTATGACCTCTTTGTGGGGATCTGCAGGGAATGAGAAAGAAGAGCAAAGAAGAGATGGCAAGCACGTGTCACTAGACCAGTGTTTCTCCACCAGAATTCCCCAGCCAGCATGAATGATGGGAGTTGAAGTCCACACATCTTCAAGTTGCCAAGTTAGAGAAACACTGGATTAGACAAATACTGTGACTTATGTCATGACGCAAGTATGTATAGTAACAGCAGCATTAGGTGATGACATCAAACACATATCATTCTGGTTCCTCATGGTTTGTTACAGATGCCACTGGACCTCTACCAATACAAAAAAGACTTGCAGAAGAGGTGAGGCACCATATCTGACTAACAGAGCAGATGTGGTCTATACTAAGGTTCAGTCCTTCAGAGTCTCCACTTCAAAGAACCTGAACCCAACGGCTTGGTGTTTAGTATAAGTGTCGCCAGCAAGGGTAAAATATTAACCCAGACCAATTGCCTTTATCTAAACCAGCTTTGTGAATTACTATGGGAGGATCAGGAAATCCCAAATAGCTGCTTTGAACAAAACACCTCCTTTTCCAGGGTTTTAAACTCAGGACCAAACATGGCCTTCTCTTCCCCATTGTTTCCACAGAGAAAAAAGGAAACCTCTTGCTTTTTCAGCCTGGGGCCATAGAAAAGGTGAGGTTGCAGTCCGTATGGAATGCTGCCTTCCACCAACCTCCACTAAAAAATAATAATAAAGAAGGATAGGTTTTAAAAATATAATGAAATATCGTGCAGGCAGGCTGCAGAAAACAAGCTTAAATATTGCTCCTATTGTTTGCACTGGGAACATCTAGGGGTTTTTCCCCCTTTACCTAGATGCATTTCTATTTTATTACTACCAAAGTGAAAAGGCCAGCTTGGTCCAACAGGCAACCAGTAAAATTGGAAGTAAAAAAATAAAATAAAAAATCAGATCCACTGTCATTCCCATAGCCTACCAAAAATGGATGTTAACTTTGGTAATAACAATGATTTCTTTCCTGAGCGTATAATATCAGCTGGCTTAACTAGTACTGGCTCAGGCTTTCAAGAAGAATGCAGCTAGAAATGTAAAACACACACACTCAAACACACACACACACACACACACACACACACAGAGATATATTTAAAAATTCATTAAGGAAAAAAATTTTAAGAGAGTTTCCAAAG